CCCCAACCCCACCCCTAGCGACACTCCACCCACCTCCACAGCCCCACAACCCTGTGTCATGTGAGAGTCCAATGCTTTTTGGTGAAATTCACAGATTTCTAAAGGTCATTGCACAGGTGAACAACTGAAGGTGTTGACATGTATGAAGCACACTGAATGATTACAGAGTTTCAATAAACTCCATCAAATGGCTTGAGAAATTTTGCTAACAAACAAATATAAACAAACAGGCATTACATGATTGCTCATCTTTCATGGTAATGCACGATATGTGCAGCATGGATCATAAAAAGACTCACTTGTCATTGTAGTAGCAATGACGTGCAATTGAATAGATTATCGCTGGCACGAGTGGAAAACCTGTAAAATCAAGTTTAAGACATTTGTGAGCTGCTTTCAGAAAAAGTGCAAGTTGTTTTTTTAATTACCTTGCAGTTGAACTTACCCCAGCCGAGCAGATAATACCATATAAGATGCTGTTTTTCTGCAAACACTGCCACAACAATCAGAGTGTGCAGGTAGATGCCCTCACAGAGCATCCAGAAGTAGTTACAGCTCATTATGTACATTTGAATGAATGCCAGAAGTTTACAGGTGTCCTGGAAGGACAAAAAGCACAGAAAAACACAGTCTTTTACAACATTCTATGCAGAGAAACAAACCTTATTTACTGTAAAGACTAATCTGATTACTCACAGAATCTTCCTTCTTTACAGAGAACCACACAATAGTGATGACTGAGTTCAGCACAAATGAAAGGAAAAGGTTTTTGTGAAGAGTTATCCTCTGGCAGCTCAACGTCCTGAGAGGAATAAAAAATACATATTAGACAGTATTAGACAGTACCTGATGTCATAAAGTAATTTGTGGAAGAGGATTAGGACCAAAACATTTTTTAGAACGCTGATTGGTTTTTTTTTTTTGCTCAAAATTCTGAGGAAAAATAACAGATTTCTGAGAGTAAAGTCAGAATTCTGACATTTTTCTCAAAATTTTGACTCAAATTTGAGAGTTGTGACTTTTTTCTAATAATTCTAAAATTCATGTCAATCTTCTGATTGAATCTCAGCTTATTGATTTAAATTTTTAGTTTAGACTATTTTCTTATAATTCTGAAAATTTGATATTAAAGATAGAATTCTGACATTTTTCTCAAAATTCTGACTTTTTTTCTTAGAATTCTCAGATTCAAGTCAATATTCTGACTTGAATCTCAGGTTTATGCCTTTAATCTCAGAGTTCTGCCTTTTTCCTCAGAATTCTTTTAGTCTGAAATTTTGAGATTAGAGTCATAATTCTGAGAAAAAGGTCAGAATTCTGATTTTTTTCTCATCATGCTGAGATTAAAATATGAATTTAGATTTTTTTTCTCACCATGGCCCTTACCCTCTTCTATAGAAATAGCTTGTGTCTGCACAATAATACATTTCAGCTTGAATGAAGACAACTTACTTAAAATAGAAAAATATTCCTAATGAGATGATGAGAGATATGAGGGACAGTCCATGACCAATCATAATCAAGTACAGGTGAGTCATCGCTGCCTGCTGGAAAAGATAATAATAACATATTTATTTATCAATGCTCCTGCAGCTAAAAGATCTTCTTACATTGTATCTACTTTCTTCTTACCGTGCCATGTGATGTAACATTTGATGGACAGCTCAGGTAATCTGTCCATGTTCTGTTGCTTTCCGGGTGCCGTCCCCACTCACCGGTGTCAGTGCAGATCTTGGATGCCATTGCTGTTTACAAAATGTCAAATTTATGGCAAAAAAAAAATCTTATGAAATAAAATCATAACCTTTTCTGTAACTGCAAATAAATCTTTCAGGAATCTGAATTATTTTACATCAAATCCCAAACAAAATATCTCACATTTCAACACAGTTTTGCACCAGTTCACAAACTGCAAGAATAAGTAACATTTAGTTACAAAGTTACAACTTTGTAGTTACTATTACTAAGTAAATAGTCTCAAATTATTTTTTTACTATGTCAAAGACTAAACAGTTCAATCATAACTTGTTTAAGATGTTCTTTCACTGCTTAGGTTTGAGCATCAGGCACACAAATTGGTGCAATTTGTGCTAACATATACACTTTTGCTTTTTGTTCAAATTATGAGTTTTCTATGTCTATTTTATGTTTTAACATAAAAAAATAAAACATATGCACTTAATGTGACTTTTTTTAATGGTACGTGGCACAGATACAGCTGGGAATGAATTTTGTAGTATTTTGTGCACACACCGTACGGCATTGTGGGGGTCATGGGTCACATGAACAAACATCCATTGCTATTTTATTTGACAGATGTAACCATGTTTTCCCTATTTATTTTTTATTATTTTATTTTTATTTGTTTACCGTTATTTTACCAGACAAGTCCCATTGAGATCTCAGATCTCTTTTTCAAGGGAGGCCTGGGCCTTAAGGCAACCTGTTGTACATGTTTTTGTGGGTGGGGGAAACAGAAGTACCCAGAGAAAACCCACGCAATCACGAGGAGAACATGCAAACTCCACACAGAAAGACCCCAGGTCCGAACCGGGGATTGAACCCAGGACCTTCTTGCCGTGGGGCATCGGTGCTAACCACTGAGCCGTCATAGTTGCTGTTGTTTGCAAATTATAGAAAAGAAAACACTGGATGACGTGAAATATTGGCGTGTGAATGCATGTGTCCTGTGGTGAATCATATTACAGACCCCTTGTTTTTTGACAAAGGGTTCTATAATATAAATTCCTATTTTAAGGTTTTATTTATAAAAATAGAATTTTGTAACATATGACAATTTTCAACAATTTTAATTTACATCATTTTATGCATTTACCAATAAATATAAACACATTTCATTGTTGTTTTTTAGTCTTTCAATTCATTTTAAACTGAATTCTTCTCATCTGATTTTACCCACATATGAACTGAGCAAGCCACAAGATACTCAAAATATTGGAATATTTCAGGTCCTACAGGTGCTCACTACGTTACTAAATCCACTTCTGCCCATGCATTACAATATATTTCAACTAACAAAAACGTCACCAAAACAAGCTCAAAAATTAAAGAAGTTTATGAAAAATCTCAGATTCATTTATAGCAAATACATCAGGTCTAAGGAACAACAAAAATGTATCACTTCAATTTCAAAGGGCGTTTTCACAGCTACCTTAAAATTGATCCCAAATGACCTGTAACCTGGCCACGTTGTGCATTTGTAAGTACAAAATGGTTTATTAACTTTACCTAGCATGGAAAAGAGTCAGAAATCATTAGCCTGGCACTCTCCAGTCTACAACAATTACAAATTATCTTTAAAAGTAAAACATTGAATTTCGTTGTTTAGTTTTGATATGTTTCATTTTGTTGTTTTTCATTGTATTTTAAACTAGTAAAATTACTGTTTTTCAAATGTTATGAAACTTTGACATTTTTAAACTTTGCAAATAGTTTTGCGTGGTTGATGTTTGTGACAAAAAATGTTGTTAAAATGTCTTCCATAATCAAAAAAACATTTTCCCTTCCCTTCTAATTCTACACACAGACTCTAACCTTTGTTTTGTTTTCTTTTTTTTTTTTTTTCAACTTTTAGGTATTCTTTCACAGATGCACATAAATCCCATAGATTTAAACATTTCCAAGATCTTTGCAGTTTCAACAAGAATTCAGAAATTAACCTTGAGTGTCAAAATTTCTAAAGTAGCCCGGACAGTTCTGTTCTTTCTCCCCAGCTTCAGCTTCATCCCAGCAGAGCCAACCATCCCATGTTGTATTGCACACCAACTCTGATTAAAACACAGGAAACACAAACTGTAATGAGTTATCAACACAATGACAATTACAAACTCTGTTTTCCATTTGAACAATTCAAAGATTAGCTGAAAATGTTCTGTAAGTTACTTTGGGCTCGTTTCTAAGTCTGCATTTTTACAGTGTCATGTTTTCTCCACCTCTGCTCACCAGAGGTTTTTGTTTTGCGATGAGATTCTTTCGTAATCTTCTGGAAACATTGGAATTGGGCCTTGGCAATCTTGCTCCGCTGCTCCTCACTTATATGAGCCATATTTGCAATTTCAGATGATGCCACCAGCAACAGCTGAGGAATTACACGAAATAAAAAAGCACAGAAGAAAATGTCAGGGGTTTTCCAATAAACTGCAATTCAAGCAGAAAAAAAACTGACAAACTCCTGGAAATTGGTTACAGTTCATTTCTTATGGATAGAACGTTTTGTAGAATGATGTGTCAAAAAAGCTACAAATTTAAAACAATTATTAGATTGAACGTTTATGCAATTGAAAAGAAAACAAACCAAAGATTGTACCTATCCATAAAATAATCAGTTTCACTTGTACAAAACATAGTTTCTAAATGTCACAAAGAAATTTCAATATCATAAACTAATTGGGCCTCATGCAAGAACCGTTGGTACGCACAGATTTGTTCTTAAGTTGTGCGTACGAGTGATTTAGGAGAATTTGTGTCATTCACCAATGTTTTCGTTTTCTAAGATTTTTTTCAGATACGAACAAAATTCACGAGTGGTCCAGACCTGTCGTATAT